GAGAGAAGATTTGGAAATTTCTATTTCTTATTACTCAATCATGATAAGAATGTGTTACAAGTGTAAGCTCCTATATATACAATAAAATCACCAGTAAAATTGTGCACCATAACTAACTAACAACTTCTAACTACTTGAAGTCAATTTACAATTAAGTCCCTAACTAACTTTATGAATGACGAACTAACTAACTAATTAAACTACTATCTTCAATATTCCCCCTCAAGCTAGATGTATTGAAGACATTCAAAACACCTAGCTTGGCAAGCAAAAAATCATGTTGTGATCTTCCTGATCCCTTTGTCAGCAAGTCAACCAGTTGGTCTTTGGTGTTGATGTAGCTTGTTTTGATCAAACCTTGTTGCACCCTTTCTCGGATAAAATGACAATCAATTTCAATGTGTTTTGTCCTCTCATGGAATACATGATTAGCTGTTATTTGTATGGCAACTTTGTTGTCACAATGAATGATAACAGGATCATTCAAACTCTATCCCAACTCTTTGAATAAATTTGTCACCCAAACAACTTCAGCAATTAGTGTTGCAAGGCTCATGTATTCTGCTTCTGCAGAACTCCTTGAAACAGTATTTTGTTTCTTTGATTTCCAAGCAATTAAAGACTCTCCTTACTTCAGTAAATATCCAGTAACAGATCTTCTAGTGTCGGGGCAGGCAACCCAGTCTGCATCACAAAAGCCACTAAGTTTAGCCAACTTATCAGAACTCATAAGCAATCCCAGACCTGGTGCTGCTTTGATGAATTTGACAACTCTCAAGGCTGCATTCCAATGAGACAGTGTGGGCTTCTGCATGTATTGACTTAAGCATTGAACTGAAAATGTTATATCTGGTCTGGTATTGGTAAGGTAAAGTAGTTTCCCAATCAGTCTTTAGTAACTGCTTACATATGTAAACAACATATCATCTGAATCATGTTCCACACTTGTGAGCTTCAAATTGCACTCCAAGGATGTAGATGAAGGTTTAGCCCCTGCTAATCCAATTTCAGAAACCAATTCAAGTGCATACTTTCTCTGGTTCATTACAATGCCCTTTGCTGATCTGCAGAATTCAATTCCCAAGTACTCCAGTTCTCCTAAGTCCTTAATTTTGAAATGATAATGCAATACTTGTTAAGTTTCTTGTATCAATGTTGGATCATTTCCTGTTATCAGCAGGCCATCTACATACACAAGTACAATGACAAGTGTTGATCCATTCTTTTTTGTAAACAATGAATAATTTAGCTGACTTTGTATGTACCCAGAATTAACCAAGGTATCAGTCAATTTGGTATTCCATTGCCTAGAGGCTTGTTTATGTCTATACAATGACTTAACAAGTCTACAAACCTGATTCTGCTTCTTATGTTCAAAGCCCTTAGGCAACTCCATATACACTTCATCAACTAGATCACCTTGTCGAAAGGCATTGAACACATCCATTTAATAAATCATTCACCCTTCAAATGTTGCAATATCAATGACAGACCTTACAGTGATCATATTTACCACTGGTGAGAAGGTTTCTTGATAGTCGATTCTTTCATCAATCTGATTGTATTCCTTAGCTACAAGTCTAGCTTTGAACCTATCAATTTCACCATTTGCCTGGTACTTGATTTTAAAAACCCATTTACAGGCTATTGCATTCTTCCCAGGTGGCAATGGCACAACAGTCCAAGTCCCATTGTCTTCTAATGCTGTTATTTCCTGTTTCATGGCCTCCACTCATATGTGGTCTTTGATTGCCTTCTCATAAGTCCTTGGCTCAGTTTCAATAGACAGTTTACTCAGATAAGCCTGATAAGGGATGAACAAGTGGCTATAAGATACATAATTTGCCATTGAGTAGGGACACTCAGAGTCATTCACAAAAGTCACATATTCCTTCATCCAAACAAGAGGATGACAAATTCTGGAAGAAATTCTGGGATTCACTACATCAGTAGTATTTTGAATCTTAGTTGCTTCTTGAAATGTAACTGGTACATTTGATAAATCATCTTGGGAAACTTCAACACTGTCAGTCCTAACAGTTCCTTCCTCAATATCTTCATTGTCACATAGCTGACTGGACACACATGCACTAGTGTGTGTTACTAACTCATCATCATAGACATTAAAATCAGCGGCATGTACTGAACCACTAGTGTGTGTTAACTAACTCACCATAATAGACCTTAAAATCAGTGGCATGTACTGAACCTTTGATAAAAAGAGGCATGTGTTTGTCTTGCAACTTAGTAAAAAGAAACACATTCTTTTTGAAAATGACATATATGTTTACTATAAACTTCCTGAGATTCAGATTGTACTAGATATAACCCTTTTGAGTTGATGAATAACTCATCATAACACATGCTTAAGCCCTGGGAGAAAACTTATCATTTTTCACAGGTATAGTGGCATATGCTAGGCAACCTATTGTTCTCAAATGATCAAAGGTTGGATTGGTTTTGTGAAAAACCTGATAAGGTTATTATTTCTGTAAAACTTTAGTGGGTTGCCTATTTATAAGATACACATCAATGGTCACACATTCACCCCAAAATTTGATGGGAATAGACCCTTAGAATCTGAGAGCTCTTGCTACTTCAAGTATGTGCATGTGTTTTGTTTCTACCACTTCATTTTGTTGTGGAGTGTATGGACAACTACTCTCATGAATGATCCATAAAGATGTCAATAATGAACTACAATCTTCATTAAAGAATTCAGTCCCATTATCATACCTAATCTTTTTTATCTTCCTCTTAAATTGAGTCTCAACAAGTAAGAAAAACGATCTGAGTATACCAAGAACATCACTTTTCAATCTCATTAAAAATAGCCAAGTCATTCTTAAGTGATCATCTACAATAATGGTTAGAAAAAATCTGAAACCATTATGTGTAGTATGTTTATATGGTCCCCATACATCAACATAAATTAGATAAAAAATAACATTTGTCCTAGAAGTACTAACATGAAAAGGAAGCCTTGTTTGCTTTGTTAGAGGACAAACAGAGCAACCATCACATAGTCTTACAACTGAGTTACCATCTACTAAAGACAATTGCTTGAGAATCTTAGCAGAAGAATGCCTTGTTATGTCATATCATACAATCTGAATTATCTACCTTTGTCATGACTGCCTTCTCATTATTCTTCTCTGCCCTTGCTTCAACAAATTTATTAGGGAAGTAATACAAGCCTTTTATCTCCTTACCAATTTCCCTTCACCTCTCCATTGAAGAGGTCCTGAAACAGGCTAAACATAGGGAAAAAATGAACATAACAATTTAGTTGTCTTGTGAGTTGAGACACTGACAGTAGGTCATGCTTTATAGGTTCAAAGCTAGACTTGTAGTTAAGGGATACAACTAGACTGAAGAAATTGACTATCAAGAAACCTTCTCACTAGTGGTAAAGATGATCACTGTAACGTCTGTCAATGCTATTGCAGCAGTCGAAGGGTGGATGAAGATAAAAATGATGATTCCTCTTCGATTCAATCACTTCGAGTGTTTCCATTGAAGCGACCACAATTGAAGCCATTACTTGTTCTTCAGTTGCTAAATTCTCCATTGTAGAAGTGAAGCTTTTTCATTAATGGTGATTCCCAGAATTTGGCTATCAAGTTGAATCAAACAATTATTGATTCACAGTGCTCTGATACCATATTGAAAACAGAGAGAAGATTTGGAAATTTCTATTTCTTATTACTCAATCATGATAAGAATGTGTTACAAGTGTAAGCTCATATATATACAATATAATCAGCAGTAAAAATGTGCACCATAACTAACTAACAACTTCTAAGTACTTGAAGTCAATTTACAATTAAGTCCCTAACTAACCTTATGAATGACTAACTAACTAACTAATTGAACTACTATCTTCAATAATAATACTATAAATCTTTTTTATAAGAGTTTAAGTTATAAAACATAATTTCTCCGCTCATTTTCTATATCAAACCAATTCTAGGAAAATGGGAAACAAATTCTCATTGAAATAGTAGGAAGCTTTCTTATTTTTTTTTAATGAAAACATATTGATAGATCTAAATTAAATCTTATGCCATCAAAGTTGACATCAAGCTATTGACCTTTTATTTACCTCTTCCCTCGTACAATGACGTCTTTTATAAGAAAATATTTTTTTATTATATTTTCTTTTCTCACCATTCAATCAAAATATATGTAAAAATAGCCACGAAATATTTTGAGTGAAAAATAATGATATGTTAAAAGTATTATATACACATCATTGGTATAAACACTACAACAAAAACAACTTCTAGCGGCAATAAATATAGACATTAATAACGAGTGTTAAAGTCTTTACCGGCATTAGTTAAGTGTCGTCATTAGAACCAATGTCGCTAAAGACTTTAGGGACATATACAAAGAGTGTTAATTGCCTCTACAAATACGATTTTAGAGACAATTAAACTATTACCATTAATTAACTGCCGCTAATGATCATTTTTTATGTAGTGAAAAATAATTTGTCATCATGTCCCCCAAAGCATATTTATAAACAAGTCTTCTAAAAATATGAAATTTGTGATCTTGAAAAATAAGGTGCGTAACCTTTTACACTAACAACAACATATGTATAAACTAAACTCTTTTTTCGTAGTGAGTATGCAAATTAAAATTAACTGAACTCTTTTGAATATAGAAGGAACATGCAAAAGAGATTAATTAATTTGTGTTGGTGTTGACAAATATATTCTGCAGGAACTTCTAATAGAAGTATACGCAAGGAATCGTAAGGATTAAGAGTTCAAACTTAACCTTACTTTTAATATAAAAAAGATAAGATACTTTTGTCCCATGATCACATAGGGTCCCTCTTCTACACCTCACAAAAGATTTTTTTTTTTTTTTTTATTTAAAAAAGCTGCGTTTAGAAAATCCTTTTCCTTTGCTCTTACTATAAATACTCACTACGTACTGAATGCTTCTACTCATCAGTACTCTTCCAAGAAAGTCTCTCGATTCGTTCTCTCTTAAATAAATAAAGCTTGTGTTGATCGAGTTGATCGAATAATTTAATTAATTGATGGACAAGTTCAATTTTGTGAAAGATGGAGCGATAAAGCTACCTCCTGGTTTTCGATTTCAACCTACTGATGAAGAAATTGTGTTTCAATACTTGATACGTAAAACATTTTCTTGTCCCTTGCCTGCTTCTATTATCCCTGAAATCAATATTTGCAGTAACGACCCCTGGGATTTGCCTGGTAATTAACTTCTCACCCCTCTAACTCTTTCCTACTTCACTTTCGTCCCTTTTTGTTGTTAGTTGCATTATGCATGCAAAATAATTTGCTTATTCTTGTACTAATGGTATTTATCAGTACTGACAGCGTAAAGAATTTTTATATTATTAAAACAGGTGACATAGAGCAAGATAGATATTTTTTCAGCAACAAGGAAGCTAAATATAGGAATGGTAATAGAGCAAACAGGGCAACTATAGGTGGCTATTGGAAGCCAACTGGTTTAGATAAACAAATTATATGCAGTAAAAGAAAGCCAATTATTGGGATGAAGAAAACTCTTGTTTTCTATAAAGGAAAGACTGCTTCTCAAGCTTATAGAACTGATTGGATTATGCATGAATATCGTCTTGTTCTTCCCAAAAATTCATCATCCAATTTACATGCCCATTTCAAGAAATCATCTCAGGTATTTAATGCCCCATTTTTCTCTCAGTATTTAATTACGTTTCAATTCATGTGACACTCTATTTTAGTTAAGCCAGTCAAAAAGAAAATGACAATTTTTTATATGAGAACACACAAGTATAATTTCACAAGTGATGTATGGAGAGAGTAAGATGTATGCAGACCTTACAACTGAGTTATGTCAATCTACTATTTTGCAACACAAATATATATAACTAGTTTTTAGATCACAAATTTCAAAAAAAATCTTTTCATCTTAAATTTTTTACCCAGTTAAACACCAGTCTTCACACTAAAGAGAGTAATATATATGGAGTATATACTACTATCATATATATTAGTGGCATGCATAGAGTGTTGGTGTGTTGTCACAATTTTACCGTTAAATAGTTTGAGTCTGAGACTCAAGTGGGGGTTTCTAAAGTTTTAATTTATTTCATGTCCAAAATAAATATTTACATTCATTTATTTATTCAAAATGCATGGATCATGTCACCCCTTGATAAATTAAAAATGTCTCTCTAGCTAGCTGTTGTCAAAAGTTTAATCTAAAATTATCTATTTTTGCATTTTGCAGAATTCATTGGTTCAAATAGGAAATTGGGTTCTTTGTCATATATTTTTGAAGAAGAGAAATGGAAAATGTGATGAAGAAATTATTGAGGGTGATTATCATGATGATAATTACAAGGCTAATGATGAACATAATATAGTTCAACCAATATTGTATTATGATTTTATGAGGGAAGATAATTTGAGTGATAGTAGAGATGCAGCTTCCTCTTGCTCTTCTTCTTTGAGCATTAATGATGATGCAAATGAGGTTTCTTCATGTCCAAGTAATCTACTACAACATCAACAACCTACTAACCCACATCTTTAATTCATAATATTGTACTTTTCTTGTTTTCCCATTGTTTAATGCAATAATATTTTCTTCTAACAAATTAGAAGAAGGATTATCAGTGTTCTCACTTAGAGAGATACTTTATTTTCTTTCTATCGCATTAATTTTCAACATTTGACAAATGGTTATTTTAGTTCACTTGCTTTGTTAAGAGTTAATTACTATAGTATATTAATTCGCTTTAGCACGCCTTAATTTTATTCTTTAGATAATTGGAAGTTAAACTAATTCAAATGCTGATTTTGTAAATAATAAACATATATATGTAGTGTTAGAGTTTATTTTTAATTGTCCGGAAAAAAGAATAATCCATTTATTATTGCTTACACTCAATATTTTATATAGCTGATACAAGGGCCATCTGTTATATAAAATAGTTTAATATATTAATTCGAGAAGTGAATTTGAACATTTTTTCTCAATTAAGTTGACACGTGGATTCAACCCCGTAAATCCTAGAATGTAACTCTAAGAACTGCAGTTAAAATAAAGAGCAAATACAAGACGATTTGCTATGATAAGAATATAATTTGAATGATTTCAAAGTATAATAGAGTAAAATTAAGATATTTTATATAGTAAACGAATATAAATCTGAACCTTGAATATTTTTCTAAAATTTAATTACTTAATCCACTGGCAATTTTAGTAGTAGTAGTTAAAATCATTTGTAGAATTCAATTTCCGGAAGTAGTATTATATATAACTAACCTTTTCTTACATATACTTCCGTTCATTTTTACTCTTCATCTATATTTCGCTTTTCGAGATGCAATATGCATGTGGATGAGAAAATTAAAAAAGGCACTTAAGGCAAAAAAGTCAACTAATGCAATGAAAAAAAAAGGGGAATTATTTCTAAAAAGTGAACACAAGTATTCAACTTTTTGACATGATTTTCTAGCTAGATGAAGCTGTGCTATGTACGAATAAAAAGAGTGTAACTTTTTGTTATTTTTCAGTCCAAAAAATGATAAAAACATAAAGCAGGGGTTGGGGAAGAAGCAAGCAAGGTATATACTCTTTTCTTTTACTGTTTTTGTGTGCTAAATATATTCTAATCTTTTTATTTTATTTTATTTTTCTATATTACGAAGCCAAAGAACATTTGCACATGCGCCACTTTCTTCTTTCTTATAGCGGAAAACTTTTTTAAAAAAAAAAAAAAAACTAATATTTTCCCCAAAGTAAATGTAAAGCCGCAAAGTTTTTCTTTTATACCTTTTTACTAAATTTCATTTGATGTGGGAGGGTAGAGCTGTCAAAATTAGCCCAAATTCGTATAACTTGTACCCACCCACACAAAGTACGTTTGAATGGATTTTGATTTTAATTAGAAATTGATATAAATAATCAAGAAGTATATGATGTTTATTTTGTTTGAATGATTATAATGTAACTTTGATAGGAGTCTACAAAATTTTCAACAAGTGATATCAACATTCGAATTAAGAAGAAATAAATGAATAAATCATTACTATGACAAGTAGCATCATTTTTTCACAATTATACCAATATTTCAATTTTTGCTAATAGTTTATTTAGTAAAAAAGTTCGACAAACCGCTTGAGGCAAGGTGTATCCGTCTACCGTCCATGTTGATAGGTATAAAAAAAATTTACATAAGCATCTTGATAGATACTAATGAATAATCTGATAAAAATGATAATTAACCAATTATATCACAAATTAAAATTTAGTTGTATATATTTCTATATAATAAAAGTTACACTATGCACGCATATAATTAACTTATATCCATTGTAATTATACTAATTAAAGAGTATTATAACAAGCTAATGTGATGATGTGAAGAATTATATAACTTAAATCCTTATCATGTTAAGTTAAGGTAACAATATTAAGCACATACCTAGTAATATTCCTCAACTACAAGTGGAAAAAGTTCAGTTCTTGAGTTAGAAATATACAGATAAATTAAAATACAAAATAGTTGAAACGTGATTTTGTAATACCTTTAATTACTTGTTCACATGATTGAGGCCCCAACAAATATTTCTGCTGGCTTTATGATGAAAGAAGACTTCCACATCGAAGGCAGATGAAGTGAATCGGACTCTTATATAATTTTGAAACTTTTTTTAGAAATTAAATTACATTTAGGGTGTGTTTGGTATGAAGGAAAGTGTTTTCCTGGAAAATAAGTAGATTTTTGACTTATTTTCTCATGTTTGGTTGGTGAGTAGAAAATATTTTCCGGAAAATATTTTTTAGTGTTTAATTTATGAATGAAAAATATTTTTGAGAAAATATCTATTATTTTTACTAAAGAGTAGAAAATAATTATTGAATTGAAAATATTTTTTAAAAACAAACTATAATTTTTATTTTTTTATTTTTTTTTTGGGGGGGGGGAGGTTAGGGAGTAGGGAGGGATAAAAAATTGAAGTTGAAAATATTTTTTTTTAAAATAACTTTAAATTTAATTTTTCAACAAAAGAATTGTAATATGATGTTAGAGGAGAGTTTTGGAAAATATTTTCCTTCATTTTTATGGAGGTCATTTTCCTTAAATTTGAGGAAAATAAATTAATTTGAAAAATATTTTCCAAAACATTTTACCTAACCAAACATGAGAAAATTAAAAAATATTTTCCGAAAAATATTCTCCATAGTACCAAACACACCCGCAATGTTCATTTACCACATGATGTCAAGAGTAAAGTCGAACAGATGACTTGAAAGAAGAATAGGCTCTACTCTTTCAGTTGTTTTATAATTCCTGAGATTAATTTCACAAGATTTAATAGTCTAATTATCTATAAACATAAGCTCGAGATTCTTGAAATTAATTTTTATTTTTCTAACAAATACTAATTGTTGTTTTTTCATTAATTAACTTATCAAACTAAACCGAAATCCATGCTCGTCCACATCCCTTCAATGTTCAATTAACCATATTCCATTTTGATTAATTATTATTTTTTTAGTTATTGTGAAAAACTTAGAACACATGCATGCATTTCTTGGATATCTTATATTCCTCTTTCCTGGAGGATAAAATCCTTTATCATTAATTATAGTAAGTTCCTAAAAGGAGAAAAAAAATTTATCCATATATAGTCAAAATCTCTTCTTTTAGGGCCTTTCTTCATCATTGTCCTTGGCTAGCTAGCTACCTTATCATAAATCAGCTAATTTTACGTACGCTGATCTTCGTCAATCCTAACTCGTTTAGGATTGAGTCATAGTTATTATTGTTTTCGATCCGTCTAATTAAAAATCTTGAAAAATGGGGGGTGAAATCTCTAGGGTAAAAGGCAAGAACAATATGATCCCCCCAAACTTCCTTCGTCGACGTTTACATGACAAGAGGAAAAGAAGGCGTTTTCATAGGCCAACAAAACAATCTACACCTTCAAAGAAAGAATTGCTTTCATATGCTATAGAAGATGATGAAAATTTAGAAGGAAGCCTAGGAAAAAGTGAGTATGTAATTAAGGATATTAAAAAAGTTGAAGCAAATGATGATCATCAAGAAAAAGTGGCAAAATTGATAGAAGCAATCGTTCAAGAAGACGACGACGAAGAAGAAGAAGAAGAAGAAGAAGAAGAAAGGGATCATGGAGATGTTGAAGATGATGATAATAATAAAGATGATCAAAGGATGATAAAACGTAGTTATGATGATGAGGGACCTGGTTCACCAAGTTTTAGAGTATATTTCACAAATAATAACAATGTTGTTGAAGACAAGAAGATTAATGAAGTAATAATTGGTATGTATTAATTTACTTTAATCAATTATCATAAAAAAGATATATAGAAACCATAAAAATGTCATTAAGACTCTCTCAAATATATGCATGTCCTTGTTTGTGCATGACGATTAATTGAATCTCCTTCATCGAAAAATTATATTGACCCCTTTAATATAAAGAAAAATTGTAATAAAATGGCAAAGAGGATTCAATAATTGTTTTGGTCACCATAGATGTTAGTTATAATTAGGTGTGACATTTAATCGCCTGGTATATAATCCTCGTTCCGCCACTGCCAATGTCTAGCCAAGTCTAATTTATTGCCTAACCTGATTTTCCTCTCTAACCATTTAATGTGTAATGCAGGTAACAAGGATGTCATTAAGAACACAACTCCAATTGCAGCTACTAATAGACCAACAACCCTTATTGCTGCTACCATATCATCAACAGAGGTATACATGCATGTGATTCTTTAATTTTTGTCAAATATAAATGGCAATTTTCCAACTTTCATATGATTAGTGTAATGATTTTAGTTATTAAAATACATAATTGTCAAGAAAATTTGTAAGTTTTCAAAAGTAAAAACAGTTGCCTTTAGCTCTATATCAAGACAGTTAAAACTTTTCCCAGTCTTTTGATGACAGAGATGTTGCAACTGTTAACTAGAAGCTGTAGGATTATCCAATTTATTCAGAATTAAAGCCCAACCTGTTGTGCAATGCATTAGACTGAACACATTATTCTGAATATGAAGCAAAGATAACAAGCCAAAATCTATGTTGTCGGGCTCTCCAAAAATGTTGTCGCGCAAGTGTGGGATTCAAAAATACACTAATTTTGGAGTATCCAACATGGTGTTATATTTTTGAAGAGTTCGAGCAAACATAGGTCATGTTAGGTCAAAACTACTACAGGCATTAACTGTGAACTCGTAATACCAAAAGTATAACTACTTCAATGCTAATGCCACTAGCTAGAAAATGCAGAAAAAATTCTATGATCAAAGAAGTTAGTATTTCAAATATTTGGTTGATGTGAGTCTGTACATGGATTATAGTCAATCCCATCTAGCTTGGATTGAGGCAGAATTGTTGTTTTATGCATGTGCCATTATTATAAACAAATCTGCAGTCGTTTGCTTACTTTTGAGCTTTTTAACTGCAAAGATTTTACTCTGGTCGCATTTTTCTTTGAGGGAAATAAACAAAAACATAACAGGAATGTAACAAAAACAGATTTCGTTAAACACCAGAATAGCACAAACACTAGAGCAGCTAAACATAAACAGATCAGATAATATCTGGCATATATAAAACCAAAAGAATGAATAACAGTAGTAAACTTACATTTTCATGCAGGTGGTGCCTGTGGGCAAGAAGGTGAAGAAAGAAACGAAGAGGAAGAGTTTTAAAAGTGCACTGTCAAAGAATATGCTGAACGTTCGATCTTGTTACTCCAGGCACAAGCGCACCCATATTCTTCCTGGAAAAGCACCTGCTTGATCAAGCACAACACATTAACTTGATTGTCTTTTTGGAAACTTAAACTCATCACCCTTTGTTTGCTATGTTTACTGGATGTAAACAATAATTTAGCAAATCAAATAGCAGGTCCACTGTAATGAAAAACTCAGAAATTAATATTAATTGTATAGACTTAAGAGATTGTATATACCTCTTAATTCCAGAATGTCTTCTTCTTTTTCTTGTTCTGGTCAACACGTAGTAAACTATACTTTAGCAAATCAAGTGATGGAGAAATCTCAACTTCTTTTCTACCAGATTTTCAGAAAGTTTCTTCATGGATGGGGAAGCCAAAAAGGATTCACAAATGGCTCATCTATACACGCATGAGAGCTTGCACACACTACATTATGGTAGATAAACATGTGAACTAAAGAGAATAATTTCAATTATTATAAAACTGGAAAAAGATGCAGAATTAAAGACATGGAACAGAGGAATAAGCTTTTCAGCAATTGTATCTCTCTAAGAGCAAATTTAGTAAATTACACAGAGAACCTTAGAGCAACTAAATACAAAACAAAGGGCATTGACAACTAGCAGGGAATTATAACAAATGATCAATCTTCATTCAACAGACCAGAAATCCCATTTGGCATCTACAGAGGGCCTCAGTCAATCAAAAAGTTCTTCCAGACCATTTACAACCATGTCTTCACTCCTGCACAAACAAATTATTTCAGGATAGTCAGTACTCGGATTTTGTATCTCAACCAGAGAGAAGTAGATGAGCATGTTTCAACATAAACATTTTACAAGATATACGGGGTTAAATAATGGGGATGGGAGATTTAATACACATAAATACCTATTCAGAAGTGAAGGCAGAGGAGAGAAATTCTTCATCCTCCAAAAATATCTGCAGATTCTCTGTTTTCATCAAGAACTCAATAGCTGCCTCGTCAAATTCCAGGATGAACCCCAACTTGATCAATTCAGCCAGTTGAGGAACAAAATCTTCTTTCTCCTTTAGAATTCCCTCAGTAACAACTTCAGAGAAATATGTCGCATACTCAAGCTTGCTTTTGTAACCACCTGATTTGTCCAGCTTCTGTAGGAAGATCTTTGAACTTTTTCTTTCCCAACAAATCATTCGGCTCACTTCCACATTCAGGACTTCTCCAGAAGAAAGTGACAAACTGCAATCCATAGTTATTGGTTCTAATGTCGCAAAAATACTGACATCCATGAGGCATTTGAGAGCTTCATGTCTCTTATGCACTTCCATTTGAAGTAAAGGATCAGCAAGGAAGCCAAGAATTAACTTAAACAAACCCCTCCCCCCAATGAAGATTTCTTTTGGCTGCACCTGCTTAAGTCCATCACAATTAACAGAAGACAGGCTTTTCTTCAAAACAGATTCAGACAAATTACGAACACCAATTTTGCTGTAAATTTCAAGTAGCTCCTGTCGAGGCAAAGATTGCAAGCTTGGTTGTGGATACCAAACGAACAAGTGATGAGAAGAAGACTTTTCAAATAAATCCTTCAGATAGAGATCATCACCAATAAAAACATCACGTTTGTCAAGCATCAAAATTTCCTTTTTCAAGCCTGAACTTGCAGGAAGTTTTGACAAGTTTTCAGACAGAAATTTCTCAGTTCGTGAGCTCCAGTGCTTCACAATGAACTCCCAGAAAGTTTGGCACTCTGATTGTGACAAACTGCGGCCAGCATTTTCCCATGAATTCCATAGCTTGATAAAATCATCAAGAGAAGGATTGCTTTTGACACCTAATTTGGAGAAGAAACTGAGCAGTTCCCTGTCGTAGTGCTTCTCTAGGACATGCAACTGCAGGCCAAAGTAACCACTTTTGTCATGCAGAACACAATCATCACAATTCACCCAATCTCCATCGTTATCACCATTTGGAATCCATATTTTTCTAGCATCTTCTTTTGCTGGTTCCCAGTTGAACTTGCTCAAGTACTTATAGATCCGAGTGATAGTAATCCTGCTGGAATGTGAATCAAGATAATCAGCAAGCAAAGAGCATCCATCTCCAATTTCAACTACAACACCAAGAGACTTGAGCTCTTTCTTATATGATCCTATGTTGGAGCCATAAAAGTTTTCATCGATGAAAGGACCATCTTCAGGCAGTAAGATAGGATTCCACTGAGGACCAAACAAAAAACACTTATCTGGTGACCTGTAACCAGCATTAGTCTTCATCCATTTTCTAGCAAGCTTTAACCGCAAAGCAATCAGATAATCATTATTATCCACCTCCAATTTCTGCAAGCACACTAACAATGAGATTGCCGCTGGAACAGTAATGACGCTAGGGTCATCAGAAAATCGTAGGCTTGCAGGCACAAACTTTGCCCCACTTTCAAAAGTCACCGCAACTCCCAAACTCTTAAGTTCATCCTTATACTCATGAATGCTCCTTCCGTACCGAGCCTCACTATCATCAATAAAAGGCAACAAAGAGATTGAAGAGAGAGCTTCCCAAGCTGAATCAAAAAGTATGCATTCTTTAGGTAATTTATCACCAGTTCGAGTTCGCAACCACTCGACCTCTTGAATGCAACTCTTAAGATCTGAAGGAAAATTAAAGCTAGTTTTCTTTAACTTTCTGTAACATGAAAGAAGGGAATGAGCACTATCTTTGTTTAATGAACCCTTAGATGTCTGCTGCCTGAACACAGCAACAAAAGCTTTAGTTGCCTCCTCAAAATTAACCACCACCCCTAATTTCTGCAACTCGCGTTTAAATGACAAGATATTGCTTCCATAGAAATTTGTATCAATAAGAGGAAAACTGCAAAACACCTGCAGCAGGCAGCCCCACACAGGATCAAGCAAAACACATTTAGCTGGAGTTTTCCACCCCATGTTTATGGACTTCATACATTTGTTATCCTTAAGTGCCCTGCATATTTTTTCAGATGATCTCAGGTTGCGAATACACTTCAGGATCAAGAACAAAGCATCAGAACTCAGGCAACCTAAGCGTGTTGGAGATCTCAAGTTGTCAACAACGAGCTGGTAATTTTGATTAAAACCAACCACCACTCCAAGCAGCTTTAGTTCTGTTTTAAAGGAAAGAATTGCACTCCCATAATGCTTATTATCAATAAATGGAATGTCACTGATCTGTGAGGCAGCATCCCACTCACTGTCCAAGAAAACAGACTCTTGTGGGCTCTTCTCACCTTGAGTAGTCTGCAACCACGGTCTATCCTTTATGCTATTGATGAAGGTATCTGGGGAAAGATATTTCTCCCGCAGATACTTGATGAAATTGAGTATTGACATCACATGGACTTTGGTTAAAGTAGAATAAGTTGCCAGAGACATAAAATGTTGTCCAATGTATTCACATGCCTCTTTAAATTCAAACATGACACCTGTTGTACTTAACTCCTCCTTGTACTGTATTAGCTCACTGCCATAAAACCCCTGATCCACTAATGGAATATCTACAATAACTGATCTATTTTGCAGCAGATGTCCCCATGATGAAGTATGGAAGAATGATTTTGATGGAGGTCTGTAGCCTGGGCTACCACTTAGTGATACCTTCAGCCAGCTTCCCTCCCTTATGCAGGTCAAGAATCTTTTTGGAAAGGAAAACCTGTTCCTTTTCATCTTACGAATCCAATCTAACATTAGCAATGCATTTTCCTTGGTCAGTGGAGAAGCCATACTAGAAATTTCTGCATCAGGAGGGGGTAGGTCTGGAATGTCCATAGCTGCAACATTGTTCTTGAGAAAGGCCAAAAGCTCTTCCTTGCTGATACAAACTCCAGCATAGCTGCCAGAATGCAAATAATCTTCTCCAAGCACAACATAGCCTTCATCTTTCCATGGGTTTGAACCAATCAACTGCGCCCATTTACTTCCATTTGCAGGCACCACTACCCCTTTCCTCTGTCTCGTGACATGTCCATAGTGATCAACAAGCGGCAGTTTACGGCATAAAGCAGCAACTTGATCTTTATATAAATAGTTCCTTGTAAGGGACTGATGTAAGAAGTGGGCTAAAGCCATAGCAATCTTTCTATCATCACTGTGTGAGTTAAGAAGCAGAACAGCATAGTCATGCACATTCACAGATCTCACCTTGACCTCATCTTTAAGCCAATCCAAAACTGTCTGACTTTTAGAATGATCCCCGACTGCTGCTTGTGTTGATTTGGCAAAGAAAAGATGATTGACAAAACGAAATTCTGAGTTCCAGTTGATCAGCCAAGAGATGTGACCAGGTTCACGAGATAAAAGCAACGAATGATCACCATTGAGCGCTTCATATATGCTACACAAAACTACATCGTCATCAAAATCAACGTACTTCAAAAGTTGAATGTTCATCATCTCAGTTGTCTTGAAAGAAGACGACCATCTCTCAGCAACAAATGCTAAAAGTTCTAAGTAAACATCCTCTGAGACTCCCAAAACAAAATTGGAACTCTGAATGCACTTTGCATACCATCCATGGTCAACTTGTTTCACTTCCAGAAAGTTCAAAATGTGGTTGTACATCTCCTTATCAAAAGCTGAGTTTACGATGAATCTTCCATGGGATGAGATGCTATGCAATACAACCCCCTGCTTCCTCGCCTTGGTCAGCAGATTCCAGAAAGCAGGAAACAACCTACCAACGTCATTGGGTTTCTGAAAGAACTGTTGTTTCACATATGACTCACATGGAATGATACTTTCATCCAACAGTTTTCTTTTAATGGAGTCTCTCACATGATTAAGAATTGGATAAGGAGATTCATTCACTGGCAGAAAGCCAAACATATGAGTCAGAGTAGAAATGGGAGCATCTTCACTAGATCTCACAAGTGAAGTGAAAGCATTGACAAAAGCAGAAGGAACACAGTCAAGAATGCCCTGGTTCCATATGTCATCCAGAAGGATCGTCTCCCTTGACGATGCTAGAAGAAAGTCAGCCTGAATAATGAAGGGGAAGTTTGTAACCATCTCTGTGGGAAGAAAAGCATAAATCCCAGGAGAGCTTGTTCCCCTGTTGAGGCGCTCTCCGTTGGGAAAAGCTAGAGTGATTACCCACTCATCAACTTCCATTCTTCTATCCACCCTATGCTCCCGCCTGACAGGAAACTTTTGTTTCCACATGTAGTAACTGCATTCCCCCAGACCAGATTTTTCATCAGCTGAGAGATGGAGCAGGTAGGATTCAGCATCAATGTTTTTCTTCTTAACAAAATCAGTCTCACTAGAAATGGAAATAGCACTGACTGTGTTAAGCCTGGGATCCTCATTGTCTTCCCTGACTGAGAGCTTCTTTATCTTTGAAAGAAAGAGAAGAACTTCAGGATGAATGCTGGAAAGCTTCTGTTTAACAGGTTTCACCTTGTCAGATTTCAGCGGAAGCACTAAAGTTGTGGCTGGAAGGGTAGCAGAAGATCCATAGACTTGTCTAATAACTGAAAGAGTTGGGTTTGCCTCCACCCATTCAGGTACAATATAGCCTACATTGCAGTGCTGGCAAGGTTCCTCGCTGAATCGTATCTGATACCCGTTGCTGAAGATGTAGGGGCGAGCAGTGATGAGAAACACACTCTTGAAGCCAATGCCTGAGAGAAAAATGCAACAAGTTCTTTTAGAAACAAGTTACAAATTGGGATAAGGTATATGCATATTCAATTAAGTAAAGAAAAACTAATAAAGATTCATCAAATCCAAATGCATTCCGTTAATAAAACTCATCAAGAAACTAGAAAATGATCAATTTTCTATTCAAAAGATAATGTAATATGAAAAGAAGAAGAAGCAAACAAAGGGCAGTCAGGTATAAATCCATGATCAAGAACAGACTTATTGAAGTTGGACGTGAATATATCTTGAATTGGTCTCTGAAGGGAAAAAATCATATGCAGTTTTTCTAGACTACAATGCAAGTTTAAGGGTCTCTTTTGTGTGCCCAACTCCAAATATTTGAAAGTTGAATTATAAAGATGAAAACTAACACATGCTGGACTATCACCTGACATCTCAAGGCAAAATTTTAACTGAAATGTAACGTATTTAAACAGATCATTTTGGCATTAAAAAAAGGGATGATGAGGTTAAATGGAAACAAACCTAAACTCCTCATTAAAAACTATCAGAGATCCACTAATCAAAGAAATACTAATAAGATATCAGTGTTCGCTCTTGTAACTCTTGTTTAGTATAGAGGAAAAAGAACAGAAAAGATAGCACTTCATTTTGATGAAAGCAAGGTTTTCCTTTATACAACAACATATCCAATGTCATCCAACACAATGGTATCAAGGGAAAAGAGTGTAGGCAAACCTTACCTCTACCTTAGAGTTGAGGTAGAGAGGCTTTTTCCGATACACCCCCGACTCAAGACAAAAACAGTCTAGAGAAAGACATAATGGGAAGTACAAGATATTAGGTGTTAACTAAAACGATTTATGGTCAGGCAAGCTCAAACGATTCAAGACCTGTTAACTAAAACATCATTCCAAACAAGTCAGAGTCAGCTTTATGAACCAATCTGCACGTGTTATATTTTTTCCACTATTATTAAATGTGTCTTCTAAGCAAATTAAGTATTCTAAAACCATAGTTTCTAAACTATTGGAAAAACATAAAGGAGAAATGATTTATGATGACTATGAAACATTTTCTTATTTGCATTTTCTTATCACATATTACTAATAGGCATAATACATATATTGGACTCTAAACTTGACTTCAAATTTTAATTTTGACCTCCAACTTTCATAGTGCACAAACAGGCACTTTAACTATCCAACCTTTTAATAAATAATCACGCGAATCCTACTTGGCAAAACGCGTGATGTGCACGTATTCTGCGCGAGTTAGGAGTAATTTTCGAGTCCCACAACAGTAAAAAAATGCTGAAATGACAACTCTACCCCCAGATTCCGGCCAATCTCCGGCAACCCAAAACCTCCGTTCATTTTCTTCTTTTTCAGGCAAAACGCCACCAAATACCCAGCCATTCTCCTTCTTCCTCACACCGGAGCACAACCCATGAAGTGAACCATGAAGTGAACGAGCTTCAAATTCGCTAAACCCACCAAATACCCGACCCAAACCCATCAGATCCGCCATCTCCGGCGAGAATCCAAATGACCCCCCCCCCCCAAACCCCATGAAAACAGACCCAACAACCACAAACACCTAAACCAAGAAGCCAACCATCAACAAACCTCTAAGCTCCGTCAAACAATGAGCTCCAAGCTCTAAAAACCATTAGGAAGAATTAATTTTGATTCTTGTATATAAATTAAAATTAATTTTAATTTTTTTTAGTTCTAAAATGACGTGTAAAATATTTAATTAGTTGGCAGCCATTGAGTGGCTCACTAATACACGTTGGAGCGTTTGCATTTCACGCTCTTTGGCTGCAAAAATCGTGTGTTTATTTATTTAAAAGTTGGATAGTTAAAGTATCTGTTTGTGCACTTTGAAAGTTGGAGGTCAAAGTTAAAATTTGAAGCCAAGTTTAGGGTCCAATATATGTATTATGCCTTAATAATATTACTGTTGAACGTCATTTGAATAGGAATGAAAAGAAATACTAGAAAACTTACATTTATGTTTATTATAGATTTATGCAAATGTACTTTTTCTTATTTGCTTGATTTTCTCTTTTTCGTCTTGGACTGTATAATTTATCTTTCACTTATGATATTAGAGGAAATTTCCTTAAAACAAAAAAAAAGTCTAACCATGTATAGCAGGTTCTCTAACCAGTTAACAATTGGGTGAGTTGGGTCAAATTAAAGCGGATAATAATGGATCAAGACAACAAATAAGTCGAGATTCAAATCCAATCCAAATTTGGTCGGGTCAAGTAATTAATGGATCATTAAACTGGTCAATACCCGACCCAATCCAATCCAATCCAATATTTAATGAATTAAAATTGTTTGAGCTAATAAATGAGGGGGCAAACGAGAGTTGGGGTTTAATTTTGACAGCATAGTATAAGCTAGTAAACAAAAAGAGACCCAGATATGAATAATGAGTTGATTTACAGTAGAGAATTGGGGAGATTAAGTACCTTTTTCGCCGATGTATCCACGCTTGCGATTGCCCTTCTTGGTGGAACGGCCGACGCTGCATATGGACTCAATGTTCTTCCGGGAGAATCCTTTTTCGTTGTTGAAGATCAAAAGCGTCGCCTGAGCTCCGGTCTCCGTAATATCTTTTGAAGTTACCACGAATTCCAGCGAGGGATCCACGCCTTCCTCGTACTCGTTATCCTCCGCATTCTGCAATTACAAATATAATTACCACTCACACCTTTTTATATATACGTACGCCTGCCTGACTTGCTGCATTAAGGGGGAATTAATGTATATTTTATTACAATATATACTCCTGAGTATTAGCATTTCAAAATGTCTTCTTGAGAAATTAATTAATACTAGTTAATATTAAGATTGAAATAAAAATGTCGTTTTCTTAATGTGCTAAATTGTAGAAATAAAAATGAAAATTATTTTCAGTAATGTGTATGGACACTTACTACAAGTACCAAGAATGGTTTTTTACAATCACTCAATGTTGCTTGTCTTTTTTTTTTCTTTCTTTTTTAAAGGTTAATATACTATATTTTTAAACAAGTACAAACATATATAGTAGGTAGTATTGTAGTAATGTTTCGCAATGGCAGTAAGATTATCAAAATAGGCTAACTTATTACAACTGGTTAGAGTTACTATTTTACTAGGCAATCTTGCTGGCCTTTTGTCAAAATTACAACCCACACATAAAATACTTTATTATGCTGCTACTACTACTATGACTACTTTTACAGCCAAAAAAAAATATAAACAAAATGATTTCATTTAAAATAAAACCATTTCTGCTGAAAAAAATTTCATGTAAACTACTTTAAACATTAATACTAAAAATATAGCCAAACTCCAAGATATTATCTACATATTGTAGTGTGACTGACATTATGATCAAATAAAACACCAATAATAAATGATCGAAAAAAGATAAATAGAAAGTAAGAAAAAAAGCCATATAATATCCTAAACAATTCACTCGACTAGTTTACAAAATATATATACATATTGGAGTAATAAGTTTTGTCGAACTGTACATATACGGAGTAGTAATTAGTTTAGGCAGAAACAAAGCAAGAACCTGAATGAGTTCCATGAGGAAATGGACATCCTTAGCATAAAGCTCAGCAGATAGATTCTTAACAGCCTGATGAAGATCCTCTGTAAGTGGATTTGCTTCACCTCCTATTGAGAACTTGCTTCTCCTTATTTCTTCTATGTGCTCCTTTGGTGTACCCATTCCCACTGTCGATCGATGATCACCAAAATAAAACTGAATATATATGCTTATAATAGTACAATGAGAGAGGTGTTTTGTTTGAGGAATTTATAGAGAGTGTAGATGGAAACTGTTGAAAACTCACTCCTTGAAGAAATCTAGTAGACTCCTAGTCCTAGGTATTGACGAGGTGGGCCATCTTTAATTTTTTCCAACTTATGTCTAGCGAGTCATAAAAATTTTAAGGACGTAAAGCATAATTTATGAATATTATAATGCAAAAATGTATATTTATATTTTACGAAAAAAAGTTTTAAATTTTCAATGACTATTGAGAAGGACAATAACCATAATTTCCCCCAATTTTCCTTCTTTTTCTTTAACAAATGAACTCTTAGAAGTATATGTGATACAAATTTTTTATTAATCGAACAGTCGTCTTAATGAAGGAGTAAAAATATAGTCAATAGTCAATTTTGATCTAATAAAGGGGAATGGGGGAGTACTCACATAGCTTGATAGATTATGAATAATGGATAGATAAAAATAGACGGAGGAAAAGGGGGTAATTGCCTATCATCGTACCTTGGAAATGAAGTTTTAGAAGACAAAGGGAGAAAAGAAGTTGGTACGGAGCATATTGACCTTTAAATGTTCATTGGTTTCTATGGTATCTTCCCTAACTTTGCTATCTTTTTCCAAGAAAGTAACTAATGCCACTTACTTAGGAAGAATCAAATTTGTCGTTTCCTCTAGCTAGTCTTTGCATCAGTCGATCCCACTCTCTAAGTTATTTGGAAATTCATGAACATGTTTACGTTTCATATTACCCTTCCTTGAGAACAATTTGATTTACATGACATACACAGTAGCGGAGCTAGGAATTTCCTCAAGGGTGTTCAAACTTTAGAAAAGTCGATAAATTTTTTTTTTTAACGGAGTGGGTGCACGAAACTTTTTTTTTCTTAATGAGTGGGTGCACCCAAATTTAAAAATTAAATTACATATCACTTAATAACTAAATAATACAAAAACCTACAGTTCAATTTATTATATATACAAATATTAGACGATGTTTTACCTATATACACAATATAATATTCCAACAAAAGGTGTTCGCCTAACAACCCTTACATGGCTGCAACTCCACCCTTGGACGTACGATTGTTTAAAAAAATAAATATTAAGAGAACGATAACTGTTTTAGATGTATTTTCATCTTTTGATTGGAAAAATCAAGCTATTCCAGAACTATTTCCATTTTTCGTTTTGCTAAAATTGAAACAATAACTTTTATTTACTCACATCACAAGTTATTGCAGGCATGCATCAGAATTTCCTTACAATTGATTCATATCTTCAAAAAACTAATTAAGACATAATAGCAAGTTAATTTTATAAAGAATGTAGAAGACTTCACAGGGAGCCTTTGTAGTCATTTTCATACATTATGGGTTTGTGGGGTCATCGTTATGCCTTTTTTCATAGATTAGTGTTTTCTTTCTACTTCTACTATATTATAAAAGGGAGTTTAGGGCCAAGTATAATATATAATATTCAAGATTGAGACTTTTCCCAATCTTAAATATTATATATTATACTTGTGGGACTTTTAAAAAGAAGTTTATGCTCAAGTATAATATATAAATATAATAGAACGTGGGCATAAACTCCTTTTTAATTCTACTATAATAAACTCCCTTTTAATTCTACTATATTATAAAAGGGAGTTTAGTATATATTTCACAAATGGAAAAGTCTCAATCAAGGAAGCAACATATATCATTTACAAATGACTTAAAAAGCATTAAAAATTACAATAATTACCAATTTAAAATATTTAAAAGTTATATAATAAAATAGGTCAACTCTCAGAATTCAGGCTCACATATATTGGGACAGAAAAAATAACACATGTCATTTTAAAATTACCAAAAAAGTATTATAAATAATAATAATAATTAACAACTTAAAATATCTGAAAGACATTTTAAAAGGGTTAATTTTGTAATTTTATCCATATCACATAAATTAGGACAAAGTGACCAATAATGTACGTTATTTCAAAGTTAAATAAAAATATTATAAATCACAATAACTAATAACTTAAAACATTTTTTTAAAAAAAATATGAAAATTTGGATGACTCTCCAAATTTCATTTGTGTCACATAAATTGAGACAACAAAAATAACATATATTGGGTCCATTTTAATTTATTTGTCTTATTTTTTTTTATATTTAAAAATTGCGTAAAAATACTATAAATCATGATAATTGACAACATAAAATATGTTTTGAAAAAAATACAAAAAATTTCACTGATTCTTGAAGTGAATCTATCGTAAAAATACTATAAATCATGATAATTGACAACATAAAATATTTACAAAATGTTGTATGTGGGTAGTCTTATTATGCCTTAAATAGCGTCAAAGAAAGTACAAGTTTGTAATAAAAAAACTTATTCCTTTATCCACGCAAACAATCGCTTCAAAAATTCGATTATTAGCCCCAAAACATACCATTTATATTATTGGGCCCGTGCATAGCAAAGGCAACATTATCTAGTTATTTAAATAAAAAGTTGTTAACGACCTTTACAACTTTTGACAATGGGATATTTCTTTCCACGTCTTTGCTATTCACAAATTGTACCAACATATAATATAATGCAATGTATAATTGACGTGAAGTGCCAACTGACACAATTACTTCATTTGTTGTGACATAAGCTACCTGATATAAATATGACATTCTGTATATCTTTTATTCTAATGAAGATACCTTGCCTTGAACCATTATTTCAACTTTTTTTAAAAATAAAATAAAATAAAAAGATCAGCATAAGTTATGGAGTCAATTCTCTAAATGGTCACTCAAGTTTAGAGAATTGCCTTAAAATATCATTTATGTTTCATTTAGGACCAAAATATCACTCAACTATCACTATTTTCCTCCAAATATATTTGACATTCCAAAAGTCCCGCTCTCTCCTAGTTGACATGACATGTCATTAAAGTCTTTTTTTTAATAATAGACTAATTTAATTCATTAAACTCATTTAACTAAAATAATGATCATATTATTTTTTAAAAAGATATATTAATTTATTAAAAATAAATTTTCATACTTAAGAATCTTTTATCATAATTAAACTTTTTATTTTTTTTATGTTATGAAGAATAGGCTTTTAAAACGTACTATAAAATCATCAATTTTGAATACTTATAAACACATACATTCAAAAAAATATTGATATACAAATCACTCATAAATGCTAAATTACATCAATTAATCATAAATTGTATAATGAATCAATAATATTAAAGGTAAATTAACTATTACAATAATATTAATTGTGTATTTTGAAATTCATGCTTACAATTTTTATTTTTTTGAAAAAATAGAAAGTGAATAATATTATATTTTTTTATCTAAAAAACAATATTAAATACCTCAAAAGTCTCCTTCTATTCTTGTCATGTCATTAAATCATCATTTAAAAAAATAATAGACCTATTTAATTCACCAAACTTATGTCTCTACAAAACAAATATATAAATTACATGAGAATTTATGAAGATTATAAAAAAAAACTAATTCCTTTATATATTTTTACCAAACAAAATTCAATGAAAAAACTTCTGTATGCAATTATTACCTGGTAATTTTTAAAATTTCTAAGTAAATTATTTGAAATTTTTAAGCAATTTTTTTCATTAAAGTATTCAAATAAATTTGTAAGGTTGACAAAAATGTTGGTATGAAAGAGAAAATTATTATTTAATTTTATTTTATTTTTTATTTTTTATTCTATATTATATTATATTTTAACTTCTCATACAATTAAACACCAATATATATTCTTATCTCATCCCAAATTTATGAAATACAAGTAATAATTAATTGAATTGACTATTTTAATTCAATAATATACATATTCTATGAGATTAATTTAGTGATAAATAAAGATCAAAATTTTATTTTCTAATATAAATATTATTCACTTTCTATTTTCTTTTCAGAAAAAAAGATATTGTAAGTATAATGGATTTCAAAGGACCAAATTAATTATTTTTTAATAGTAAATTGACCTTTAATATTATTGAGCCATTATATAATATATGATTAATTGATGTAAGTTGACATTCATAAGTGATTTATTTATCAATATCTTTTTGAATATATGTGTTTATAATTATTCAAAATTGATGATATTATGGTAAGTTTTAAAAAACTATTCTTCATTGCATAAAAAATATAAAAAATAATTATGATAAAAGATTCTTAAGTATGAAAAATTATTCTTAATAAACTAATATATTTTTAAAAAATAATAATATGATCATTATTTTAGTTAAATGAGTTTAATGAATTAAATTAGTCTGTTATTAAAAAAAAAAACTTTAATGACATATCATGCCAACTAGGAGAGAGTGAGGCTTTTGGAGTGTCAAGTATATTTGGAGGAAAATAGTGATAGTTGAGTGATATTTTAGTCCTAAATGAAATATAAATGATATTTCAAGGCAATTCCCTAAACTTGGGTGACCATTTAGGGAATTGACTCTAAGTTATGAGAGATCAACCAGTAACCTTAACATGTATATTAACAATCAAAATGTGTGTACATATAGTATTGGGACAACATTTATGTCTTCTTCATAGAAAGTGGTTTGAAAAGGACATTTATATGTACAAATTACAATATCAAAATACTTTAATTTTTTCATGAAAGAGGATAATAGACAAAAAAAAAATAAAGATTGACAAATTTATGTTGGGTGTCCTCAGGGGACTCGGGAGTACACACATTTAATTTTTGTTCTTACAAGGTGGGGAATGAACTTTCACGTAAAAGATTTAATAGTCAATTAATTGAACTATTAAAATTTCTCATTACAAAAGTAGTAACACGGAGTTGTTTTTTCCGTTATTTAGTTCAATTATATAGCTTGATTTGATCCCTATTGAATCTCAGGGCCTGTATTATTGTTACTTGGACCTATCGACTAGATAGTTGTGCGGAAGCCCAATATAATAATTTCGAGA